TCTGAAGGCCATTTACTGCAGTTCAGACACCACGATTTACATACAGGCTTTCTGACTAAATTTTCCTATTGAGAACCTCTCAGTTTACTTGAGTTTTGACAAAAATAATCCCAAATCTCAAGGAGTGAGTGCCATGAAAATTTGTGAAAACAGAGTACTCACTGTTTTTTATAGTGACAGACAAAGCCTCTTTATTTTTCAAGGGTCCTTTGAGAATTGTATTGACAGCTGAGTTTTGATTTTACTGTCTCTCAAGGAACAGAAATGCCATGCAAAAATTGATGGAGACATTTCGTTGCAAAATTTGAAGGAGCTATCTTGTCACTGAAGTCTTACTAGAAACTCAACATTCCATTATTATTAAATTTTCCTGTTTGGATCATTTCTTTTTTATCAGCCATGCAATAAAATAGCAACAGCAGGATTTTTAGGTGCTGCCATCTTCTCTTCATTGGTTTTGCACTACTGCTTTACACTGATATGTTAAATGTATGTGATAAGTGTGAGTGCTGAGTATCTGTGCCAGTGAAATAAAAGTTCTTTCATTGAACTACTTTTTATTCAGGTGATTATATAACATGACTATAAAAAACACCATTTGACACTCACAAACCCAGTTTTTTATTGGGAACTTTACACTGAGATTTTGCCTGCAGGAGATCTTTAGAAGTGAGCTGGAAATGGAGCATTTCTATTACATACAAAGAGAAAAGGATGCAGCACTTTGAGGGTTACACAACCAGAGGAAAACGCCTCCTCTTTATGCAACCCAAAATTATTTTACAGTGTTGTCCAGAATCTGCTTCCTATGACGTTTGGTGTATTCAAAACAAAACAAAACAAGCAGAAAGACTGAGATACAGATGCTATAAAGTTGTCTGCAAGCAAAACCTATTTCCTTTCTCCTCCCTCCTAGATAATTGCTCCAATTTCTCCTCCAGCTGAGTTCAGATTATGTTTCTGTCTAACAGATGAGAAGCTTTATGGTATTGACGATATAACAGACATTTAATCATGCATTTCCTAAAAGAGATGAAAAAAAAATTCCAAAAACAAAACTCAAATTGCTTAGAAACAAAGTAACTGGCATAAGAGTCTCATGCCCAAATTTGTGCTTTATGTCAATGAATGCCATGGTCTAAAAGACTTCTGCAGAAACCTCACACAGTCGTAGAGTGGAAATTATGACAAAGAAGCGAACTTTCTGTGTCACAGCACCTTGTCAGTCAGAGAAACACTGACAGCATTATATCCTCCCCTGATTCAGCTAAGAAGGGGCTAAATCCTGAGCAGAGGCCGAGCCAGCAGAGCAGGATGCAGCCCCCATCACCTGGCATGTGGCAGGTGTGCCGGGGAGGGTGGCAGCGCTGCAGTGCTCACAGGCAGAGCCACACAGTGCTAAGGGACACCCTGACCAAAGGACACCTGGAGGGGGCTGGGGTGGCCACAGGGGTGCTGACACCCAGGAATTCATCCTGGGCCTGCCAATCCCAATTTTACAACACTGTTTTTGGAAGATTTGTACAAGGCCCCTGCAGAAAATTTAAAGATAGAATTATCCAAGACAATTTTTAATGCTTTTAAAATATTTTTCTACAGATCCTATCAGAAGTATGAATGCTGTGAATAAGGACTACAAAGAAATGCATATCCAAGTAGCAGTCATTCCTATTCCATTCTCTCAGTTTGTGGAGAAAGCTCTGTTTTATCCCATGATAAATGACCAGTTTATCTTTTTATGCAGCCCACCCTGCTGTGCCAGGGGAGGCAGCCACAGGTGCCTGCCCTGCACAGAGTGAGCAGCAGGGCTGCCCTGGGCCGGGGGGTGCTCTGCAGAAAACAGCCAGGCCAGAAGTATGAGGTTGAGAATTTGCCATGGGCTCTAAGGAAGAAAAAAAAGCTTCCCTGATTACCAGCCTTCGGGGTTTCTGCAAAACCAAGTAATGACAGACAGGATTACAGAGGAAGGGAGAATGGAAAGACAGAAAAATTAGTGTAAAATGAAAAACATGTTAGAGATGTGTCTGAAAGATGAGTAGAACAAGTGTGTCAGCATGCTCCTAAACAAACAGAAAGGTTTGGGACAGAAAAGAGTGTTGTAGTCTTAAGCAATCACATTTCAGGGCATGGGTCTCTTTGAGAAAATCCAATTTTAAAAATTGTTGCCATAAGAAAATAAGCTAATCCATGTTAGGCATGAAAGCAGGCATTCAGACACTAAAATTGTTATTACTATTATAAAATGCTTAATATTATATCTTACTTAAAGCAGTAAAGAATAAAGGTTTGGCTTGGTTTATTCACAAAGATTTTCTTGCTGTTATGATCAGAATCACCCATAGGAATGCAAGACTGGAAGTGAACTTGTTGAGGCTCCCAAGATCAGGTTCTCCATCAAGATAAATCCTGTCACAAATTGATAACCTCCATCCAATCCAGAAATTGGCAAGATTTATGTCTCCAATGCTGTGATGAGAGGCCAAACCAGATACCCCTCCCCAGTGGCTGGAAGGCCTCCACCTTCCAGATTATCAACATCACTGATCACTCCTTGTGCACTCGTGGGGGAAAAAAAATGAAAATAAGTGTTTCAGAAAGGAATAAGAATGAGTTTTAAAGCATAGAGAGATTGGGATTTGGCCTTTGCTCTGGATGACAGTACAGCTGGGAAGGATGCATGGCTGGATCACCAATCTGCCATAAAGATGGTTCCTGGGAAGCCACTGACTGCTCACTTGAAATGAGAAATGGAGGCTTTGTGACACCATTTGGTTTGGCTGGCGAGGATCAATTTATTCAAAACACACAGAGCCTGTTTTCCATTCATTTTTGGACACATCAGCTTTAGCTCCATATCAAACCAAAAACAGACATTCCTTTTTCATTTTTCATGTAACATTGAATTTTTTGGCTTATGACATGATAAAGGCTTAAAAAAATGTTACTGTTTATAGCTACAAATAAATGTTAGTGAGCATGACTTTTAAAAGTTTATCTATATCAGAATAAAGTCTTGGTAATTTTAATACATGGAATATTAATAATTTCCTTTCCTTCCTTGTTTTTCGAAGTTCAAACTATATCTGAAACTGAAATCTTATTTCCTTTTTCTTTTTTTTTTAACCGATTTTAAAGGCCCCAAAATCTAAATCAAAATTATTTCAAATTAGTTAAGGAAAATCAAAGTAGGTAACAAAAGTCTTTAAATTTACTACCTATATTTTATATGTTTACAAACTATGTACAATGTATTTTACATTATTACCTATAATAAATCTAATAATGAAAAAGAAAGTATTTGCTGTAAAACTAACTTCCTTTTCAGTTTCAACATTTCAGTGGGTTCATATGCTAAAAATAATACAGAAATTGGAAACTTTTCCCAATATTTTGTAATTTTAAATTCACATTGTTAATGTTTTAGCCAATATATTTTTTCATTTAATTTTCAATTCGGTTCCTGTATTGGGTTGAATTTCTCTCCTGAACAACCAAGAAGAGAAAGAATGTACTGGCTTTTCAAAAATCTATCTAAGCCACACCTTCTCCAATGCTGGATATATGCACATCATATCTGAAATTTTCACAGGGCTCTGAGAAAGACAGATAACTTGCAAGTTTACTTCCCCATCCCCATTTGCCCAATTTCCAGCACGGCCGAGGTCCAAGGTTTTGACTGAAGCTCATTTCTTAATATTTAGCTAATTTAAATGCTAATTAGACTAATTTGATGAATAAAACATGGTAGGAATTCATTAACAACTATGTTGCGATTGCTTTATGTCTACAGAGAAATTTTCTAAACCAGGGCTCCAGGGACAGAAGCGCATCTGTTACCGGCTGAACAAGTTGGATTCTTGTAACACTGAACTTAGAGCTGGTAAAATATTGCAGAGCTGCAGAGAAGACTGAGGAGCAATTTTAAGTTTTTCAGCTCTAGCACATCTTGGACACAGGCCACCAGTGAAGAAGAGGCTTTGTGCTGTCCTGAGCCCATCTGCTTCATGGGGTTTGCTCGGAGCTTTAGATGCAGAGGAACAAACTGTGCCTTATCTCTGTCTCTCAATACCCACTAATGCCATTCCAGCTGTTTGCCTGGTGTCACTGGTGCCTATACAAAGGAATTAAACCATCCACCCAATGTCTCACACTGTGGGTAGACTTTTATGGTTTTTATTGAGCTCTGCGAAGCTGGTGAGGCTCCAGAGAAGTGCAGCAGATACAAACATAGATAAGATGATCTCTTTGGAAGAACAGGGAGTTGTTTGGCTTTGGTTGGTTGGTTGGCTTGGTTCTTGAGTTTGTTTCCTTTTTTTGTTTGGTTTTGTTTGCTTTGCCTTTTTTGGGTGAACTTTTTTTCACCTTTTCTAGGGGAGAAAGTATAGGTTCAGATCCCACCCTGCTAAAGATTTTCGTTTTTGATTGTCAGAGCGGAATATGTAAGTGAAGCAACTAAAAGGCCTGTAAGAACCTGTCTTCTTTGGAAGAGAAATATATTTCATGTCTGACATTTGAGTACAGATATGTATTTAGTAGTAAATTCTGACTAAAAAAAAATCAAAAACACTCAGACTCCCAACCTCATTTAGGTTTCTGTGTTAAACAGAAACCTAAATGAGGTCGGGAATCTGGGTGTCGCTATTTTTTCCTTCATTTTCCACCTGTAAATATTTCTCTATCTTACAAAGGAAAGGCAGATGTTACAGGTAATAAGTGATGTGCTCAAGGACAGTAGCACTGGAGACCACAACAACACACCATAATTAAAACAGGACAGAAAGGAATGTAAAGGAGGTTATCTGTATTGAGAATACCCCTTATCAGTGAAAAAGCTTAAAGTCAGTTTACCATTATTCAAATTAATTTCTTCACTTGTTTGTTTGGTTTTATTTATTTTTGTTGGGGTTTTGTCTGTTTTTTTTTGTTTAAATGTTTGCTCCTGGATGCTAGAAATGAATGTAATTAGGTTTATAAGAATTTCTGATTGAGGCCATACTCACTTCTACATGTTGACAGGTCTGAATGAGTTTTGCCAGAAGAGTTTCCAGTTCAGTGTTCCTCTTAATAAGGTTGGTGAGGTTACTCTCCAAATTTTGCTGTAAAAATAAAGAAAAAAAATACATTGCAAAGATTTTAATACTTCGGTGAATATTAGAAAAATCAAATTACACAGATATGAACATGAGATTTTCATATTGATATATTCCATTACATTACATGTTTGATTAGATGTTTTATCTGTGCAAGACAAGAGACCAAAAAAGTTCAAGAAAAGAGTGAATTCTGGAAAAATAGTTTTTCTAAGGGCCTAATAATAATTAGATTAAGCAATTAGTTTTATTCAAGAGGAAAAAAATGAGTAAGGAGAATACCAGAAAAGGCAAGAACATTTCTCCAAAATAAATATTTATTTTAACTGAGAACATTTTTTACTCCTTATTTCCTGCTTTCCATCTAACATCTGAATTTAAAACTCTGCTGCTAACTGAGGTCTCAGAACTGGTCAGCATTTTTTTCTTAGGATTTGAAATGCTGGGGAGATTTTGGTCTGTTTAACTTTATTCCTGAGCTCAGCAGAGTTATATTTTTTAATAAACAATTCAAAAGAAAAACACCCTTTCTATGGATAAGAATGAAATACCTGCTCACAAACTCTACCTTCACTAACTGTTCTTAAGAGAGAACTTGTGGCACATTTCTGTGTTTATCAACTGATTATGTCTGCCATAAATATCTGCAGCTGTGGTGGAGCAAAGTCCTTTCCAGCTCACAGATCTGAGGCTGCATCCTGGCTCCCTGCAATTGCATGGGAGATTGAGATCTAACAACAAATGTTTCAGCCTCCCTTCTCCTCCCTGCATCCACAGGAGGGGAACCCAAGCCCGAGGGGCAGGTCTGTGACAGCTCTGACCCATTCCCTGGAGTTACTGAACAGGAATACCAGGAGTGAGTCCTCTGCTTTTCTCCTGGCAAGGGCTGCAAGGGTCTCTACACAACTTTCATTAATTTCAACCCTCCTCATCTTTTATTAATGACCTTCTTTTCTTCACACTAGTACTTTCCCTCTGGTGTATTTATTCTATCATTTCAGCCCCTGCAGCTGCCATTAACTTACCTGACTTGCATAATCCTCCCCCAACTCCACCTCCATACCCACATTTAGAGAGTGTGTGTGTGTTTTCTGGTGTTGTTATTCCCTGCCTATTTCATGCTGTTTAAAACACCTTGTTCTTTGCCCTCCCTTTCTGCAGCCATGCAGCTCCCTTCCCATTTTTGCATGTGGCTACAAACAAATGAAGATGGCAGTATTGAATTGCTGAATGATACACACTTTGGCATGTACCAGGATGGATGCTGTAAGCACTGGAGAGGCAGTCAGTTCTGTTCCACTAAGGAAAACACAACATTTTGGTGGCTTTTATGTATATGACCCTTCCAAGGAGTGTGATGGGTGCTCGAAGTACATAATTTTGGCATTTTCTTCCCAGCAGAGCCATGCATATTGTGTATGACAAGCCCTGGCTGTAAAAATACCTTCTACGCTACATTTATTTCATAGCCCATTAAAACAAAGAGTAACAAGAGCAGGCATTTTTACCAAACTGTTTGTGCTGGATCTTACATTTCCATAAGCCACACTGTGAGCAATCTTAATTGCAAAGGCATGTTGGCTGTGCTGTCAGATGTCCCATTGTAGCGCTGAGGCTCACAGGCAAAGTCAAAATATCATATATAGTTACAATATCAGATAACTTTTGCCTTCAATAAACAGTTCCTTAAGTTGATTCAAATGAGCAAATACGCTTGAAATTTTATTTCTAAACCTTCTTAATCTTATACATTAATGTTTTATATATTTTAATATTTTACACTAAAACGTTTCAGTGAAAATTGTGTATTCTTCATTGAGGTTATCTAATTTAAAATGTATTATTGAACATAAAAAATACTAGCAGTTGGTACCTATATATACTATGAAGAAAAAATGTATTCAAAATGGTTGTGGGACACTGCAATGATTTCAAATAACTGAAAGTAATTTCTTTTCAGCTAAGGCCATTAATACAAGAAGAGTCAGCATTTTTCTCGGAAACAGAAATGTATTGACCCATAGATTGTATATACATTATTATATTCTAAATATTTCCAAAATATGGATATAGTAATCTCTATTCCTATATACCTGTTTATACACATATATATATATATATAGGATGAAGAACAAAATCTTAGAATAAATTTCCTATCCAGTGACTACAAATATAAACCCATATATATTATTGTGGCTTCACATAGGTCTCTTGATATTATCTGCATTTCCTGACTGTGAAAATGGAAGAAAACTATGAAACAAGTGAGTTGCCTCAGAGAAACCAGAGTTATTCCATTCCCATGTTCTATCTCCTTGAACTGTGTAATTTTAAATATGGCAAACCTGGAATTTTGTTTCCAGGCAATTTGGTATGCAAGAGATTGGGTTTTTTTAAAGCCAAGAACAATTAAAAATTTGTTAAATTTTTGTTGAAGAACATCAGTTTCTATTAATGCTTTACCAGACGACAAGAACCTGGTGGCTGCTGTGTGAAATTAATGTCAATCTTTCCAATTTCACTAGGGCAGTACTGAATGGCAGCTCTTAGAAGTGGCCTGATTCAGAAGTTTTAAAGCTCATAAAACTTGGTCAATTCCTGCAGTATGTTTATCCAGATTTTCTCTCAGCAGTATCTTCCTCTAGTACTTTCCCCTATTATTTTCTCAGACAGACCATGGAGCCCCTTTAGCTACCACATGATAGTAAAGTTGCAGAGTCTGAGCCTGCCCTCTTTCTTTACTCCATGTAGGGTGACACAGGAAAGGCCTGAACATTTAAATTTCAGAAACAGATGTTTGCTCAGAGACTTCCCAAAGTGTTGCAACCTCATTTCTCATCCCCACCAGGAACTTCCCCAGTTGCATAAGACAACCCTGCCAGATTTGGAGGTCCGGCCAACTTGGAAAATCAATTTAGTTGTTGTAGACCAGAATTCCTATGAGAGTGAATTTTAGCCAGGTTTTTAGTCTAAGAAAGTGTGCTCTCACATTATGATGAGTAAATGTGAAAGTGAGTAGCAGAGTAACCTGACTCCAAATACCTTCCTTCTTCCCACCTAATCGTCTACTGCTGTTCTGATGGGCACACCAAATTACAATTGTATTTTTGGTAATATATTAGGTAAATCACAATTTCTTAAACATTCACTCCTTCCTTTTCTTATCTTTTTTTTGTCAGTTGCTAATTTTCATTGTTATTTGTCTGTTAAAAACTGATCTTAGAAACTCTAGTGTTGGTTTTTTTTAAAGAAGCACAATAGTTGCTCGGCATTTCCTCTGTGGACAGGCTTCATGTATGTTAACTCAGTAGATGCAAACTGCTCTCAAAAAGCAAAATCAAGGCTGAATGCTTCCTGACTTACCAATGTAGATCCAGCCCAAGATCTTGACATTCCATGCATGCTTTGAAACTGTTTTTACAACAGTATAAAGTGAAAAGAATGCTTAATGTCCATTTAGCATGGTCTGACAATTATACAACATAAATATTCCTATAATCTTGGAATAAATCCAAGTAGATGAAACCCCAGACATGTAATTGAAAAGGACAGTTAAGGATGATGTTTCATTTTGACTCTGCATGCCTATAAAACAATATGATCCAGGGACAGGAGTCTAAGTTGGAAAAATTAATGCCAAAAACTAGAGGAAGGGAACTCAGTATTGATGACATTTTTTAAGCTGCTGTCTAGCTCATGAACATGTTGCTGCTGATGTCATGATCATGTTGCAGCAACGATTGCGTGAGGCTTGTGCCCTGATTGAAGTGGGAGGTCAGACTAGATGATCATAGTGGTCTCTTCTAGTCTTTAAATCTATCAGTCTATGAAAACCAAATGTGAACCCATGCCCTTTGCCAAATTAACAGTCTCACGCAAAGCATTGCTTGTCTGAAATAAGAAGGTAGCACAAACAGATAATCCTAAGCTACTATGACTTGGAAATGCTGTCAAAATAAATTAATGTAAGCTTCTAAAGAAGAGAAATGCTGAGTCGTGTGCTCCTGCCTTATGTCATGGCACACAAAATAAAAGCATTCCCAAAATCATCTTCTCAGAGACATTTTCCATAAAAAAAGTCTATTTAAAAAGCCAAAAAATAAACCAGATAGCTATCAGGTCCAATGAAATTTTCAATTCCTTTTGAAGTAAAGCAACTCCACCATGACCAAAGCCTAAGCAAGCATTGACTGCAGTTTGCATTTCCTTTGATCCTAGTGTAGAACTGACCAGAGTAAAGCACATTTTGAGGCTATCTCCTGGTTTAAAGAAAACAACTTTGCAGTGTGGAATTTAAGTTGAGTAATTACACAGGTTTCTTGAGAACCATTGCCCCCCTCTCATCATCTCTTTACAAACAGTCAACATTTCCACACTGGGTTAGTAAAGTGTGTAGCTTAAAGCCACACAGTTACACTGCTGTAGATGAGCAATAAAACATCACAAAGCACAAGTGTGATCGCAATTCTAACTTAAGCCAGCAGGGAAAGCAGGGTGGTGTTGACATGGCAGATCAATCTTTAGTACCTGCAGGCTGGTTAGAGATCATAAATGTACTCCCTGTCACTAACACAGTCCAAGCAAACACATCTTCACTGAAATGTTTTCCTCCAAATTCAAAGGCATTATGCTGCATGTGCTCCAGTTTTATTTTCACCTCGTCATAGTGACATACCCCATGAACTAGTCCTGTTGCCTGCAGGATTTGTGTCTAACCTATTAAAAAAGTTGCCAATCAAATCCAGAATAACTGCCAGAGTATCAAGCGTGGTTTTGAGCTGGGTTTGGTGTATATGTGAGCTTAATTATGTGAGCTCAATGCTTCATTTGGTGTTCTTTATTTAAATGGACATGCCAGGTGCATATGGAAAAACTTAAGCTAATTTTTAATTCTATGTACTTGTCCTGAAACAGATGACAACTCTTCTGTAGCATTCATGTGGTCAACTCTGTATTTCTCCAGCCAGGGAATAGTAACGCTTTAATAGGAATGATTGACCTCAAGT